TTTCTGTGACTATGATGAAGTTCTGACATAGTCTGGTGGCTCAACTGTACTGAACAAATTAGAATTAGAAGAAATCCACTTTGTTTTTCAGACTTTGCTTATATAAGAGGCTATAGAAAATGTGTCTCGATTATTTTGGCTTTTGAAGTGCAAAATGCCCAGATTCCCAGTAAAAACTAATCTCCCTGTATTGTCCCTTTCAGACCCAGATAAAAAGTTCAGAGAGACATTTCTTCCTAGAAAATGACAAGTATGCTGCCAGCTTCCTTTAGATGCAGTAAGAACAATGCTTTTAATTCTGCCTCCTGACTCTACATGAAGATCATCAAATAAGCAGATGGAACAAGAAAATGAAATTTTAGGTATTATGGAAATGAAATACTCAAATGACACAAATGACAATGGGCAATTTTCACATCACTCAATAAACTGAGGCTCTATTCAGCCCTTATTTGTGCCATGAGTTATTTTGAGTTTAACTTTTAAAAAAAGAATGTCAAGGAATGAAATTCTCACCCTTGGTTTTACAGGAGAGAATCTGCCTAACCAAAAAAATTCCAAGGAAAGAAACTAGCTACTTTGATGGGAAAGGGGCTGCAAGTCCATAGGGATTCCCTACTGAGGAGTGAGAACATTGTTTGCTTTTGCCCCCAACGAAATAAACTCTTCTAGAAGTAGTGCAACAGCATTTGGGATGATGCAGCCTCCTTTTACAAGAAATAACTTTCTTTTTAATATATTCCCTTGGGCACTGGGAAGGAAAATCTTTTTGCCTCTTAACTGCTGATTCAGTGACCTGAGAATTGGGTCAGAATGAAAAAATAATCTACAACTCTGCTTTTAGTTTGCTTAAGAGAAAAAGTGGGTTTAAAAATTACATATTTTGTTGTTGTTGTTGTTTTTTAAAGGAGACATACACCTGAATCACAGATAAATGGAATGCTGGCAAATATACTTTAATTTATGACTGTAGTTATTTTTTTATGTTAGTTGTAATTTCAATAGATATATGTAATTGACAATGTCCAATAACTTCTTTTTTTCAAACATTTCTTGTGCCTTAAAAAATTTTTTTATGGGGGGGTCTATTCTTGGGCTTTTATTATCTCCACTCTTCTTGGCTATGGAGAACCATAATCTAATGTTTTCTGGAATGTCACGCTTTCAAGAAAAATGCAATATTTCAAATGATTCATTTAAAGTAACATTTAAATATACAATTTTGCATGTGACTTACTAATATGTTGATGACCTGATTCTCGGTGTTTGGATGATATTTTTTCTGCCTTTTTAAGCAGTGAAGAACTTTACTCTTAGGAAAGATGGGGCTTTCCTAGTCAAACTTCTCCTAGTTCTTGTTTATCCCCTGTAAATGTAAATATATCACAATAGGGAAAATTTCTCCCTTCTCAATTCCTGAATTTATAGCTGCAACTGCAATTCAATTTCATTGTCTTTGGATGGGAAGCGATACTTAAGAAATTGGGCTTCTCTGAGTGCGTTAATGACGGAATATGTGTTTTCAAGGTGAGCTACAGCACAGATTTCAAGACTGTTGTCTCTCTTGGAAATACTAAATAAGCAGTTTCAAGGATGAATACATAACATAGAAGACATGTCTACTTGAAGGTTGTTTCTTGCCCTTTCTTGAACTTTGCTTAGACAGAGCAGCCCCAAGTTTTGCATACAGAGAGTTGGAGAAAAGATTTAATAAGATCTCACTGAAAAACAATGACTATTTTCAAACAGAAAACGTACTAAAACCAAATGACCTAGTTTTGGGGGGGAGCAAGTGTATGCTTCACAATTTACAAACATGAATTAATTTTTGTTGTTGTAGTCATTTGTGCTTAGTCTACACTAATTATATATATTTGGTAAAGGGCATGAATTTCCAAATTTTGTTTTATGGAAGAAACAGACTTTTGGAAATGTGAAAGAGGGCACATCGTGTTCACACATTATGATGTTCCCTGTTTCGCACTGTCAGTGGCTTGTTATTGGTGGCTTATTCTCATTTTGTCTAACCTCAGAGGAGAGGAGGCTTCTTTTTCACCCAGACTTTTTGCTCCTGTGTTCTCCGTTAAGAAACCCCACAAACACTTGGAAATAGGTAAAAAAAGGACTGAACCCCATGTTTGGTTGCAATACATAGGAAGCTGTTTCCATATGAGGCTTAGTCTATTCCTAGGCATTGTGAAGAAGACGTCATAAATAGCCATCTTCCCCCAATTCTATGAATGTAGTTCAGCTTGAAGACTAAAATTCGAGTTTTGGGCGATCGACAACACTTGATTGATTGGATTAAATTCTGCCTTTCAAGATTTTACAATTTTTCCCTAGGAAGTTTATTCTTGCATAGCTAAAAATAACAAGTCTGTTAGGTTAACAATATATTGATTGGCAGAACCAGGTGCTAGTCATGTCATAAAGATAAACTTTCCATTTTTCAAATTTATGTCATTTTGAGATTGCCTAATGTGTGCAAAGGAGCCACCCTCACTCCTCCATACCAGAAGAAAGCTTCCTGTTAATTTCTCTGGCTCTCCTATGCTCACACATTCTCCCAGGAGATGAGCTGTTGAACTGGGTCCCTAAACATCTGCTTATAGGCTTTATTATAGGTTTCTAGGCAAGAGAGAAGCTGCAAGGCAGAGCTGGGCTGACTTGTTGGCTAGGAGGCAGCCTATGCATGGTAACTGGCAGAGCAGATAGACATGTGTGCCCCTAAAGTCGCCTATGAAAGTGAAAACATCCACTGTTAAGAGCCATGAATAGACTAATAAATGGACCAGGGAAGCCAAGTGCAGAGACCTAGGAAGTCAGTTATAGGGCAAGAGTTAGCAGCAACTGTGTGAGTGATCATTTGCAATACTGTGCCTTTGGGAATTTTTAAAAGTTTTCTGCTTCGGGGCATCTTGGTGGATCAGTCAATTGAGCATCTGACTCTTGATTTAGGTTCAGGTCATCATCTCACAGTTCATGGGATCAAGCCCTGTGTTTGGCTCTGTGCTGACAGCATGGAGCCTGCTTGGGATTCTCTCCCTCTCTTTCTGTCCCTTCCATGCTCATGTGCGCATGTGTGCTCTCTCTCCACCCCCTACCCCCCACTCTTGAAATGAAGAAAATAAAGCTTAAAAAATTAAAGCTTTGTGCTACTTTTGGGACTCCAGGACAAGTTCTTGGAAGTAAGCAGGGCAGTTTTTATTTTTCTCGTTGATGGATAAGGTTAAATGGCTTCTGTAATTCAACAGTGAATTCAGAAAAATCCTGAATTTAGACTATTTCAGGAAGATAATAGGTTTAGCATGATTTCACAATGGACGAGAAGCCCCCTTCACCCTAGGAGCCAGAGAGAGGGATGGTGGAATGATACAGGGGTATGAAACCCTCACAAGAGAGATGGGACAGAGGTTACTCAAGAATTTACAATACTTCGTAACGTGACTGAGTGTTGCTCCCATGATTATTTAGTGACTAAAGTGCCATTCCCAGGCCTACTCCATACAGACTGTAATTTGTCAGGATTTCCACACTTAATGTTGTATGGGAAGCCAAAAATTTGGGCTTTTCTGATGAGAGATGCTTAGTTAATTGCTTTTACATTTTAGTAGGTGTCAGCTTCCCTAACGAAACATAGTACATGTGCCCAATTATGGGCAATTACCATTTGGGAATGGTTGAGACTATTTCTTTAAGAACACATCTTCTTAAGGAAATTGATCAAGAGCTCCATGTGGTATATAGGAGAGAGGATGGGATTCGTGTGAGACAGGTCTGGGTTTGAATCCCATCTCTAACTAACCACAGTACAGAGGACACATCCCTTCACTGAGCCTCAATTTATTCAGTTAATAATGAGAATAATATCCACCCTTTCCTGGGGTCTTGGGAAGACTAAAGGAAATGAAATTATTTTTATTAAAATCAGTTGACATTCAAAAAGTAAACTCATCAAGATGAGCCCATTGGGTCACATTCTGTAGGTAAGATATGACTGTCTTGGATAACAGATGCCATGATCTTAAGAGATGGACCATCATACCTTTCTGGATATATTTGCACTGCAAAAATTATTAACACTGTGGATTCATTAGAAGCCAAATTAAGCTGCTTTCCCATGCCATGCCACTGTCACACAGGATGCATGCTCTGGGAAGATTTCACGCATTTTTGTCTTTGGGTTGGCAGAACTGTCAAATGCCACTTTTGAAAAATGAGGCTATCTACAGATGCTTGCATAACACAGTTAAGCAGAGAAACAAAAATAAAAATATCCCTTGGTCATTTACTGTGGGCTGGATAGCTTCTGTTCATGCTCTCAAATGCACTCTCCACCCTGCTCCCACTGCCCTGGGCCCAGAGAAACACATCTGTACAACTCCATCCTGGCCTCCTTGCCTTCTGGTTTATGGCTGAGCTCTGTTAATAGGGATCGGCGGCAGAGATTGGGAGCTGAGAGTGAGTGAGTTAGGGGTATTTAAACCTTTTTCAAGTTATGCAGACATAGAATATGACAGTATTTATGTGGGTTACTAGAGTAAATGCATAGCAACCCATAGCTAAATTGACTGGCGCAAGCCCAGCCTGGTGTCAGGATGCTAAGGGGAATTACTTTTAAGGACACCTGTAACCCATTAGTGACACACTGGGGCATTGCCTTAGTACACCTCAAATTGCCCACGTTCACAAGATGTGCTCAGTAAACTTCCCATAGATGTGAATAAATTTTTAATTCGTAGTAAAAACTCAAGATTTGTTGTATAATTCTTGTTTGGTTATGACTGAATTATTCCCAGCCCTTTACTACTGCATATAGCAATTACTTCCAATAACTATATAGAAATGATATGTCATGGTTGATGCGAAACTCAACTGTAAAAGTAAATATGATCACACACGTAAACAGTTGCTTCAGTTAAACACAATAGCACCATGTTCACTCTTCATGTGTACTACATCCTTAAGAACAAATCAAAAGCAAATCATGCAGTGTTTACCGGGTCCCTTCTCACAAGCTCTCCATTGGGTACTACTTCAACCAGGTGGATGATGATAATCATAGAATTCAGAATATAAGTCAGAAACATGTTCTTGTGCAGAGTTACCCTTTGGCAGCCAAGGTTCCTGGAGGAAAAAGTAACAGCATTAACCGGTGCCAAAAATACTGACATACCTGGAAAAAAATTTTTTTGGTAACATTTGTATTATTTCCTTTAGCAATAGATGAGAGACATATAGAAATAAGTGAGACTGGTCCCATCTTTAAGACTCATTACTACTTTTCTGCCTGATTTTTAAGAACAGTTTTCTAGTCACGGTAGCTCATAGTTTTCAGTCCTCAGGGTGACTTCATACAATAACTGAAAGAGTGAGTGATAAAATCACTTTTAATTATACCAAATGTCGTGAAATTAATTAAGAGAAGGACTCTTACAAGAGAAACCATTAGGGTTTGGAGTGTGCTTCAGATGAAAAGTCGAATATTCATTGATGTAACCAGGCAGAAATTGTGTGGCAAATGGGATAACAGAGCATGAAGTCAGAACCAAGGCTGCCCTTGACAAAGTACTGAATCTGTGTCCTTGACCCATCACAGACACAGACTTTATTAAGTCTCCGTCATTCTTCTCTTTTGCTATTTTTTCTAACGTCTTCGTATTTCTCATATTCCAACTGGAATCAACTCTGTGGTTCTCCCTTTCCACATCCCCCTGATGGTGGAGCTCAGACACAGGCACAGAATTCTACATAGGCTCAAATTTAATCTCATTATAAGGCATATTGTGGTTTGGATCTGATGAAACCCATCCACGTGCCACTGCTTGTTGGCATAGCCATTTCCCACCTTTTGGACACTAAACAATTTGTTGGAATTTTCATTCCTTTCTCTTCCATTTCATAAGCTTGTACATACGTATTTGTGTGAATGATCACATAAATAAACATTAGTTTGGATATCCTATTCCACTTTTTGATGCAAATGGAGAGAGTCCTGCAGGCTGGCTATAACAAAATTGGAATGATTATCCAAGAGGAATAAAAATCTTGCATTTACCATAACTGATCCAGTCAAAAAACATTTAGCATAATGTGAAAATCTAAAACATTCAATTAATGATGCCAATGACTGATCATAGTAATTATTCCTAATTCATGGAATAAAGTTAGGATTCCAGGAATTTTGAAAAGGAAATTCTGGGGAAAGATGAAATATGAGAATGGTCTGGCTTTACTTAACAATGCTTTCCTAAATTTCGAATCAAAAGAAAATGCAATTATCTGTTGTAAAAAGTCGATTTAAGTAATAAGGGCATCTGTTAAAACATATTTTGATTTTTGTAACTACATCTTTCAACATTCAGGAAGCACAACCATTAGTAAATAGTTAACACAGAATATCTTAAATTTTTCAACTTGCTGAGCAGGGATAGAATGCAGAACTTTATATCCAGGAAGGGTTTAGAGAAGAACTTAAACACACGCATGTGCACACACACACACATACACACACACCCCTGTACTACTTTATTTGACAGCAGAAAACTCTGTTAAATAAACCAAACCTAATTGGTTTTATAATAGTACTATAAAAGTAGGTTGCAAATTTAAGGCTTTAAAAAGAAAAAATTACTTATGGGAAACATCATACCCATTTATACTGCATAAACTCTTCAATATTGCAACTGGTACATTAAACCTGTGACCTGCCATTTTCCATATAGTCATAATAGCATTTCATAATTCTTCTCACTGGGGGGCAAATATCTGTGGCCTCATTACTGGATTCTGCCTGGCTTAAACCAACGACACTTGGCATTATCCAGAACTGAAGAGTGTGGATAAATGCATCACACAGTGCCGCTGTTCTCATGCCTGGTTTTCCTCTGATCAGGTAGAGTTCAATAATCTGCTGATATACAACATTAGTTTAAAGGACTGGTTAATGCTCAATCTTCTGTGTAAACCAAAAATCGGCTTCCTCTACTTCTAGCTTATTACTCCCTGGCCCTTTTATCCTTACTTTATTATTTTTTTCCCTTAAGACCACCTTCTGACATATCATGTATTTGTTTATTGCCTGTTATTTTCTCCGTTTCTTTCACTAGAGCAGGAGTGCTAAAGGATTTGTTTTGTGCACCCAGAATAGTGTTTGACACCTTGTAGGGCTTGATACTCATGTTTTTTAATTAAAAATCTTTACATAAGAGCAATTTCCTTCTTCAAGCAGTGGCCAGTAAGTAGTTTTCCAGTATATCAGAGAATTACATTAAGTGCTCGATTGTGTAATATCTTATACTTTGAATCATACTGAACATTTGCCAAGTTCTTACTATAGGTATTAACTACCTAATATTGGACATTATGCTGTTGTTCAACAGTAGCTAAAACCTGTATGTGGTACGGTGTTAATTATATAATGAGAAAATGAAGGTTTAAAGCTGGATAAACTATTAGACTCCAAAGGAAGAATATGACTAGTATATAATAAGAGTTTGTGTCTTAAAGTTTCAATATAATTTCTGCTTATTGGGTTTAAAAAAATTTTATTACACTTACTTGACAACATTTAAACTCAGCTTTTTTTTTTAAAATTTTTTTTTTCAACGTTTATTTATTTTTGGGACAGAGAGAGACAGAGCATGAACGGGCGAGGGGCAGAGAGAGAGGGAGACACAGAAATGGAAACAGGCTCCAGGCTCTGAGCCATCAGCCCAGAGCCCGACGCGGGGCTCGAACTCACGGACCGCGAGATCGTGACCTGGCTGAAGTCGGACGCTTAACCGACTGCGCCACCCAGGCGCCCCATAAACTCAGCTTTTTGAAGCAAGTTAGAGTTACTTTAAATTTATTAAAATTCCTTCAGTAATCTAACACATATCACTGTGTACCCATTTAAAAATCCAACACACATTACCATATGGTTCAGACCTTTGGTAGATGCTAGGGGTATATGGATGAACAAAACAGCCTCTGCCTTCAGAGACCTTATATGCTAAATAACTGTTTATTTTCTCTTATTATGATTACTGTTCTGAAGGAGAGGTATAGGATGCTAAAGAGGGTAACTGAACTTAACATGAGTAATTATGCGCTCAATTGTTCTCAATGCAAATATCTTGTTGCTTGAATGAACATGATCTGTCAGATCTGAAAGGTCTTAAGTAGAAAATAGCACAAACCTGATGTTAGCTATACTTCATTCCTCTTGATTAAAAGAAACAGTTATTTAGATAGACAGAACATTGCTTACTCTTTGCAAGACAAGGAACCCTAAGTACTATAGATTCTCTAATAGCAGGAGGATAAGAGAACATAATTGACGTCTGTCTTGGCCCAAAGTGTCACTCAAATGTGAGGAAGAGATAATGATTTACCTAGGTATGAATCTCAAGATGTCATACTTTAAGACTAAAGCTAGATGTTATTTTCATGGTTTTAGCTTACTTGGGGTAAATCTGCCACACTATTTGTTTCAAATAATTGGGACCCTATGTATGTATGTGTGTGCTCTTGGGGAGCTTTTAGTCATATGAGAAAGCATTTATATTTGCCTTGAGTTTTGCATATTGCATAAAACAGTCTGATATCAGAGGATAAGGAAGAGCAGTGTTCAGTCCTTTATAAGACAGTGTAATTACAGTCACATTCAAAGTAAATGAGGAAAGACACAAGCAATAAAAAAAGTAAAAGTTGTTTTGAATTTACTGATGCATGAGAAAATCTGCATTGGAATAACTGTTGTGATTAGTACAAGGAGTCATATCTCTCAGTGTAATGCTAAATTTTTCTTTACCTGGCTATCATATTTTGTTCACAATAGACCAGACAAGTAAGGAGAAGGGGAGGGAATCGTGGAATGGACTGCATTAAAACTCCTAGAAGAATTTGAAACCCAATACTCTTTATATCTTTCCCCTCTGACAAGAGACTTTATACCTTTGGATTTAGCACAAAATCTTTATCCTTAAGGAACTCCCTTTTGATCATAATTCTTGCTTCTTTTCCTATTACCACTATTCTATGAGTGAACAGTTTACCAAGATATGACTGGCAGTTATCTTTTGTGTCCTGTTGTGTCAAGGGTGGGTTGGGAGAAAGGAGGTTATCTTTGGTGCCATTGATTTAGTGGTTTCTTTGGAGCAATAGGAAGGCAGCTGGAGATGTATCATAGTGGATGCTATAGAAGATAAAGTGTTATCTATCCATCCACTATGTAGATGTGACAGAATAATAGTGAATGCTGATGAGTAGAGAGGAATCAGTATTGCTTCTCGAAGGTCCCAGTGGAAAACCTCCTTTTGTGCTGATATGGCCAATGTAATGTAATGTAGACAATGTAATGCAATAAAGACACCCCCCCCCATCTTCCAACATATATCTCTATTAACTTTCAGGCAAGAGTAATTAATATTCAAAATTTAACAGTAAGTAAGGCATGAGTATCAAGCAGTTAAAATGGATGATAATGAATGTTCTATTACTGTGCTTTCCTGAGAAAAAAGAGTTAGATATTTAGTAATTTAGGATTCTTCCAAAGAAATGTCAATTGATAATTCTAACTGGAACTGATGGGATAAGTGAATTTTATTGCAAACTTGTTTAAAATGGTCAGGAAATGCACACAAATAAATGTCCACTTATGTGGCTTTCTCAAGCCTGTCTCCCCTCGGGGTATCTTCATCTTAACTCTCTTGTTGACATTTACTATTGGCATGTAGTAGTGAGGAGTCTTGCTGAATAAATTTGATGTTTCTATTTAATCCCTCTCCATACTGTTGCTCCTAACTAATTTTCCTGCAAAGAAAATGAGTATATATGAGTAATTTCCCAGATTTTTAGCAGCAACGTATTGGCAGTTCCACAGCCTCCCGTGTATTTAGTGACTTTAAATTCCTCTGCAGGCTTTCTTAGCCTGCTGGTTTGAGGAGGACACCTGCAGGGTTATTCCTTTTTATAGATCCTATAAGGCACATTTGATGAGTTGAGAGTGAGTTTCAATGGGATGATTATGAATGGGGCATTAGGTCTGAAAAGTGGGACTGGGTGTAACTTCTCATTTTGGTTTCATGAAATTTTTATGAAATTGATTGTTTGGATTTTGCAAAATAACTCAACCCTGGGAAGGTGGAATTAAGCGAGGGAATTATGATTTTTTTTTTTTTTTTTTTTGCTCAGGTTTACACAGATGATGCATCTTAAACTCATAAATCACAAAAGCTTCCACTGTAATATGAAGTAGAGACCTTAAGGGTGATGTTGAACATTGAGAACAATTTGGGGAAAATGTTGCTAATTAAAAGACAAAATCCAATGATAGATCAGAATTACCTTCTTTTAATATTTATGAAATGCAAATGTAAAGAAAAAAATCTGAAGATTCAGAAACATACTTTAATTTTAAGAAAAAA